ATCATTGCATGTAGAAGATGAACAAAAATTTGAGAAGTTATTAGAGTGTATGAAGGGATAATCAATCATGCTATGTTCATGCAGCTCACCCATTCTTGTCTGAATGGACTCATCTCTTTCCTTTCCGTCTCATCGAACAGCTAAATCGAACAAGCACTTGGACAAAACTTCAGCACGATAACTAATGAAAACAAGACAAGGACAAAACAAAGCAACACACGCATGGTTTGAAGTTGAAATGAAAGAGCAGAGAAGCAAATATTACCGGAGAATCAAGCAGTTCGTATAGCCACTGGATCGTTGTGTTGTGCGCGATAATGCCGTTCATGCCGTCCACATATAACATCACTTGTCCCAATGCTACAATTATAAATTTTAAAAAGCAGAACATTAAATGAATACCTATAGAAGTGAAATTCGACGTAGAGAGCACCTCGCAGGATGTAATTCTGGTGATTTTGATCTGCGAGACGTCCCAATCGAACCATACAATCTAATCCGCCATTCTGCACAAATTCAGGAACAAGGTCTCGATCATCCTGCAATTAAAGAGGCGTACTGCCTCTTCACTTATTGACACTTTTCTGCAGAACCCTACGACATTTTTACAAAATAAGCATATGTATACAAAAAGAAACTTTCCTCGGAAATTGAATCAATATAATTCGTTGAAAAGCGTGCGTAAAGGGAATTATACCGACCACTCTAAACATGACGTGCAAGGTTAGCGTGACCGATATATCACCCCCCAATTTAAAGCGCCAATGGTTCGAAACCGTGTGTATGACCGCAGCTGCTTAACTCCGGGTTGTGAAATTTGTCCGTTTAGCAAGGAAGGTGATCGTATAGCATCATGAATAGTATTAAACACTTTCTTACATTTTAGAATTCTGTTCAATCCACCACCTTTATCTGTATATTTGGACAACTCATGCACAAGTTTTGAGAATACATATCTTGTGCTGTTGTCCTGAAAATAATACAGAAGTTTAAAAAGAATCGAACCAAATTCGGCATTTCTCTGTGTATTTTGCACTATCACTTCATCACGGCTTCGGTGATATGAATTGGTAAAAATGATGATTTGTCTTCTATACAATGATAATGTCTCTTCAATTGGATAGATCTACAATTTATGAATCTCCTTATATCTAGTACTAATTCTAGTATTAACCAAAAAATATATTAAATCTCTATGATTTGGATTAAAAAATGGATCTCTCTCCTTTCTAGAAGAATAGTTGGCATAAAGTCGTGGGGCTATAACACTGAGAATAAGCAAGACGTTTATAACGAACCATGTCCAAACTATCCTTTCAAATTAAGTTTTAAATTTAGAAGATTAGAAACTAAGAAATTAATCTACTTATACAGAGCTCGCATATGTATGGTGTGTATATTCATGTGTATGGGTATTATGTATATACGTACGGGCAAGTGTATGTGTGTATGTATATGCGCATGTGTGTATATGTATACGTGTTTATATATGTATATATGTATGTATACAAATGGGTGGGTACGCATGGAGTTTATATATATATATATATATATATATATATATATATATAAACTACATATAT